GGGTGACTATATCACCATTTACGTCTTTCTACCACGGATGGACACCTGAGTTGTTTCTAGTTTAGAGTCACAATGAATGAAGTTATCATGAGTATTCTTATACTGTATATATGTTCTGGTAAACATATGCACTGAATTTTGTGTACTCTTTCCAGAAAGGGAATTGCTGGGTTACAGAGCATATGAGTATTTAGCTTTAGTAGTACTGCTATGTATTTCCCAAAGTGGCCATACTATTTTACACTCCCAGCAGAGATGAATGAGAATTCTAGCCACTCCACATCCTTGCCAACACTTGCTATGTTCAATTTTAGACATTCTAGTAGGTGAGCGATTTTCCACTTAAATTTATAATAGCACCAATTACACTACAATGAGTATGGCAGTCTCCTAGTTGTTCAAGAATATCTATTTTTCCATACCTTAATATATTAATTATAGACTTTCAGCTGGTTACATAGTCACTCGGCTAGCAGCTATATTTCCAACTCCCCCTTGCAGGTACATGTGGGCCCCAGCCTAAGTTCTGATCAATGGTATGTGACAGAAGTGATGTGTGCTACTTTCTGGTATTGCACTGAAATCTACCGATCATACTCTTCGTCTTTCCAGCTAGATGAATGGTAACATCCAAATGGGTGACAGCAAAGCTGCCCACCAGTCCTGGTCCACACATCTACCTCTGATAATGTTATGTCAGAAGTGGGCCAGGCGCAGTGGCTCACACCTGTAATCCCAACACTTTGGGAGGCCGAGGTGGGTGGATCACGAGGTCAGGCGATCAAGACCATCCTGGCCAACATGGTGAAACCCTGTCTCTACTAAAAAAAATACAAAAATTAGCTGGGTGTAGCGGCATGTGCCTGTAATGCCAGCTACTCGGGAGGCTGAGGCAGGAGAATCACTTAAACCCGGGAAGTGGAGGTTGCAGTGAGCCGAGATCGTGCCACTGAACTCCAGCCTGGCGACCGAGCTAGACTTTGTCTTAAAAAAAAGAAGCAAATAAACTTCTGTCTTGATCAAACCATTGGATTTTTATCATAGCAGGGAATCGTGTTTCCAAATAAACACTCTGTGATTGCTCATTTGCCCTCTGGCTTGAACACACCTGGGCAGATGTTGTTTCTGTTTGCTTAGCACTCATTGGAGGCACCTGGGGGGGTCTCAGAGCCTTCAAAATCCCTTTCAGCTTCCTTCTTCCAGCTGGAGGACGTGTTTTAACAACCCAGGGGGCCTGACAGAGACTGGTGTGGACTGTCTACATTGGAGAGGCTGGCCAGGAAGGCCACACTCTTAACAGCAAATTTCTGGGGTGGGGGAAGGGACAGAGATGGGGTAGGGGTCACAGCATGGTCTCAGAGGCCACTGCATGGTAACAGTGGAGGTACGGCCCACCCACGTCTCTGCAGAGTATGGTCACATTCAAAGGACATCTCAAGACTTTTCCGGAAGCTGCTGGCAGGTCCTAGACCCAACCTTCCCACAGCCCCTCAGAGGACCCCATTTCTCTGCTTGCTGTGCTGACTCTCTCTAGGCTCAGCCTGGACACTCCACCCACCACTACAGGTGAGAGGTGGCAGACCACTCTTTCTGAAGACGTCTCCCGCACTGCCTAAGGCTCCACCCTGGGGGATCTGGAAAGGACTCTCAGCCTACTACATGCCTGTTCCCACCCCACCACCACCACATTGAGAAGCAGAAGCAGAAGCAGAGAAGCCTCTACTTATATCCACCTGGCTGTGTTGGAAGCTGAGTATTATTTGTGCTGCCATACTTGACTTTCTTTCTCATATGGGACTTAACTATTATCTATCCAGTTACCATGCTCATCTACATATAGATGGTGTCAACGTTCTGGCTGAGAAATAAATGCAGAGAAACTTTGCAAAGCATGGCCTCAGTATCCACACACTCGGTGTTTCTCAGGAAACTAGAAAATAGATTGGTTAATATGATCTTTGATATGCTTGAAATTAACATGGGGGGAAGCAAGGGGGTCAGAGGTAAGACAAGATTGGAGTTCATTTAGCTACTTTTATTTTTATTTTTTGAGACGGAGTTTCTGTCGCATAAGCTGGAGTACAGTGGTGCTATCTTGGCTCACTGCAACTTCCACCTTCCAGGTTAAAGCAATTCTCCTGCCTCAACCTCCTGAGTAGCAGGATTACAGGCGTGCACCACCAGGCCCAGCTAATTTTGTACTTACAGTAGTGAAAAATACACCGGTGTTTTGCTATGTTGGCGAGGCTGGTCTCGAACTCCTGACCTCAGGTGATCTGCCCATCTTGCCTCCTAAAGTGCTGGGATTACAGGCGTGAGCCACCGTACCTGGCCCGCTACTTTTATATGTATGTTCGAAGTGTTCAAACATACATATAAAAGTAAGCCCAGTAAGCGGCCAGGCTGGCATGGGAGGGAGGGCACATGGGGCCAGGCAGGTGCGCTGGGGAGACCTGGACTCTCCACGGAGCCCCCAAGGGGCAAGCTTATCTATGAGAAAGTATAAAAAAAAAACAGTAAAAAGGCAAGCTTGGTCACTTTGGGAGACATGAACACTCATGTTGAGAGAAGGGAACAGGGAAGGCGGTCAGAGGGACGAGGGAAGAGGAAGACCTAATGATGGCATCCAAGTCCCTCATTCTAAAGGTACCCAAAGCACCTTTAGATGCAAGTGAGCCAACAGTACAAGCTGAAGTTCTATCCCCAAGAGTGCCGTCTCCTTCATTAATGCAATAAACGTGTTTGAGGGCAATTTTATATAAGCACTGCGCCAAGAAGCTCTTGGGGTTTGTAGCCTGGGCACTGTAGAAAGCTTTCGGAGTTTTTACTGAATTCTCTCACATCCTTCTGTACGCATTAGGAAACAGGCTAGGGACGACAGGATTCTGGAAGGTCACGATGCCAGAAGTGTGGGCTCTAGGACAGCCATGCCAAGTTTCTTCTTCCTGGGCTGCCCTCTATCAGCTTCTGAGCATGTGGGTCTAAAACCCAGGAGAAGCTTCAGCAGTTGTTGAGAAGCACACCTCTCTTGGTCCCCTCCCTGCAAGGTGTTCCCAAGGTGGCCCCAGGCCTGTCTAGACACTGGCCCTGAAGGGCATGCTCCTGTAGGGGCAGCCAGCTCCTCGGTGGGCAGAAATCCACTTTCTCATCTAATTGTCACCCATCCGTCGTCATTCTGCCCTTCATAACACCACAGAATAATCCTTCCTTCCTGGACAGTTTTGCAGATATTGGGGTTCTGCTGACTTGTGCTCCACACATTGATTTTCTAGGCTGAAGACCAGCCGTGCATCAACCCCCCTCCCACAGGCTGCTGCTGGCTGCCTTAGACACCAGGCAAGGGCACGGAATTCTAGATGTGTCTGACTAGTGAAGAATAAAGGATAGTACCCCCGATCTGGGCAATGCTGGCATGGATAGATCCCAAGTGTGCATCCCTCCTTGGGCATAGAATGCTGTCAAACCAGTTCTGTTCTAATCTGTTCCCGTTATGTTTCAATCCAAATGGGATGTGGAACATGGATTTGTGAACCTCTACATTTGGAAAAGAGCTTGGAAAAGGCATCTCCTCTAGTTTTTTCCTGTAACAGTCGCCTGCACTAAACCTGAGCACAAAGTGCTGCAGGCTTTAGCTGCCACTCTCTCTCTCCGTGCTCCCCAAACCCTCCAGGAAGACCACGCTGTCCTCACGTTTCAGGATACAGAGGGATGAGGCCCAAGGTTACCTTGGAAACTACAGAGCTGTGAGTCAAGGGAGTCTATCAGATTCTAGGTCCAGACTCTTCAGAAGGAGGGTAGTGGCTGCCACGCAGCAGAGGGAGGAGGGGTGTGTGCTCCACCCCACCCTGCTTGACACCAGCTTTGTCATCTTAGCCTTTGCTGCACCCAAGCCCTATTCTCAGAGCCCTGGCAGTAAACCACAGGAACCACAGGAGGCCCCTGAAGGGAACTCTGTGATTGCTGGGCCTGGGACTGGCTTCCTTTGTAAACTCTGGCTCTCAGAGCCAGTGCTCAGCAGGAAAACAGCCTCAGAGTCAGAGCCCCTGCCCCTCCAGAGCAGTCTGTCGTCCAGGGAGGAATCACCTCGCCTGGAGAGGGGCTCCCCAACTCCTCACATTCAGGGGACATCCTGGCTGGTTCCATTGGGAACTGTGTCCCCCTCTCAGGTCTGTGTTCCTCAATAGGCCTGCCAGCCTGGCTCGTCACTGTGTGGGCCTGTCACCTCTCCTGGGGGTAGAGGGAGGCGGTCTGGAAGGAGCAGCGCCATCTCTGAGGGCCCCCCCCCCGATCCCCAAACCGATGGGCTAGTCACAAACATGTCTCACCAGCAGCCATACAGGAGGACCATTTGCCATCTAGAGTGGAAAATGATGAACATTTAGCAAAAGGCCTGCACGGGGGTGCAGGGAAAGCAAGACTCCAGGCAGCGCCAGCCCCTCCCCCTGGGGACTGGAAGCAGCCCGGTGTGAAATATTCTTGCCCAAAGTCAGCAGCCTAGTGTTCCGGGAGCCACGTGCCTCTACAGGTCAGATTCTCAGCAGAGCTGGCCCAGGGTCTGGGAGTGAAGAAAACCTGGGGTATTTGCGGGAGACCTGGAAAGGGTGGGGTTCATCCAGGACCCCAGAAGGGGCAAGCTTGTCTATTAACAGCCGGTGGGGAAGAGGGTGAGAGGGTACCTCTTGGTCCTGGGAACGGGTGCTTGACTCAGCAGAGACCAAGGCAGGCCTGGGGGACATCCCTGTGGGCCTGGGGGGAGGCAAGAGAGATGGGAGCTGAGGAAGAAGGAGTGGGGAAGAAAAGTGGGGAGACGGGGAGGGAGGTGGAAGAGTGTATCCAAGGTGAAGAAAGAGGAGGAAAAAAGAGGTTGGGGGAGGGGAAGGAGGGAGGTGAGCAGGGGGCTCGGAGGAGGAGGAGGGAGGAGGGAGGAGGAAGAAAGGGGCGGGGCCAGGGGAGGGAAGAGAAGGGGGAGGGGAGGGGAAGAGAAAAGGGAGGAGGGGGAAGGGAGGGGAGCGGAGGAGGGGCCTGCGCGCCCTCGGTTCCCGCGCCGGCCTCCGCGCCCTCGCGCGCCGCAGCATCTCCGCCACCAACGCTGCCGCCGGGCCTCCTCGCCGCCCCCTCCCCGGCCTGGCCGCCTCCCGCCGCCGCCGCCGCCGCCGCCGCCTCCGCCGCCGCCATTCCTGGCGCCCTAGCTCTCCCGGCCGGGAGCAGCCGCGGGCAGGACGCGCGCTCCAGGTAAGCGGCCGGGCTGTGCTGGAGGGAGGGCGCGCGGGGCCCGGCAGGTGCGCTGGGGACCGCCTGGACACTCCGCGGCGCCCCCACTCAGCGCCCCTAGCCTCCTCCCCGGACCCTCGGAGCCCTCCCTGAACCCCTGCAGGAGCCCCTTTCCGGGACTCTCCGGATCCCTGGACTCCTTCCTGGATCCCCCCGGACCCCTCCCGGGTCGTCTCCCGGAGACACCTACCCGGAGCCCTCACTGGACCCCTTCAACCCCCTGGACCCCTCTGCGATCCCTCCCTGGCCTTCTCCCGTTCCTGGGTGCCTTCCCAGTCACTGCGCGCAGGTGGCTCCTCTGGGCGCGGGGGAGCGGGGGCGCGGGGGCGCGCTGCAGACCCTGGCCAGGGAGGGGGCGGCGCGCTCGGCCAGGCCCCGCCGCTCCCGGCGTGCCCGGTCCGGCCCCGCCAGGTCAGGCCCAGCTCTGGCCAGCCCGGACTCCGGCCGGGCCCCCGCGGGCTTCTATTTTGGTCGCGGAGGCCGCGGCCTCGGTGTACCGGACTCGGCGCCGCGCACTCAGACAGGTGGGGCAGGTCGGGCCGCTGTGGTCTGGTCGCCGCCTGGGCAGGAGTGCTCTGCAGGCCTCGGTTTCCTTTAGGGTTTTGGCTGCATTATTCTAGAACAGCCCAGGAGAACCACAAGCCTTAGCCCGGGCTGCACCTGTTGCAGCCGCCTGGTGAGCTGCAAGGGGCTGGCTCCACTGGGGTTATGCCAGTAAAAGCATGTCAAGGAGGGTTGAGCTCGTGGTTGTCGTCTTTATTTATATGGCTTGGTATTTTGGGGGGCAGGTGGGGTGGATGGGTGAATGGGAGTCTGTATGTGGGCAGTTTGCCTCAAATGAGGCCTGGTGTTGAGGGCTGGGTCCTGCTTTCTGGAACGTTTGCCATGTGAAGTTGCTTTGCTTTTGTTTTGAAAACCTCACTCTGTGTTGAGCACATCCCAGGCTCGTGGGTGGCCAGGTCCTCAGAGGCCAAGCTGGACGTGGGGCCTGGGGCCAAGCATCTCACCCTGCTGTTCTGAGCCTTTTCAAATTCGCCAGGCGTCACTGAACGGAAGTTTCCTTTCCTGGGGGTGAAGTGACACCGGTGGCCTGTCACCTCATATGTGTCCTAGGCCTGGGGCCTGCCTGCTGGCTGCCCAGGAGAGGTTATTTGGGAATGTTTACTGTGTCCCAGAAACAGGCAGCTCTGGCCAGTGCAGGGGCAGGATTCTGGTAGAGATGATAATGCCCTGATTGTCGTTTTGACAGTTGGTGTCTGTATATATCATGTCTTGGTAGTCGTCAGCCGGAAGAAGAAAGCATGCGGGCTCAGCATACCCACCAGGGAAGCTGGGGTGGGAGGGTGAGGGACGCACTGGCCTGTTTCTGTGGGCAAAGACTGCCCTCCCAGAAGGCCAGACCTTCAGACTGAGGAAATTGTACCTGGTACACTCAGTAAGTCAAACAGAAGTACAAACACATCACCGGTGCCAGGAGCAGCCCTGCGGTCCCAGGAGGGTGGGCTCTTAGGAGTTGGTAGACAGAGGAACTCAGTGGCTGTGTTTCAGAGTGCAGATAGGCAAAGGCCGTCATGGGAAGGCAGAATCCCCGCTGCCATGCCAGCCCAAGCTCTTGCAGCACAGTGAAAGGGAGGGGGTCCATGGGAGGGGGCCCACCTCCGACAGGCACACGTAGAGTCTGCTGAAAATGCAGCCTTGCACAGACCCCTCCCTGAGCACCTGGGGTCCTGGGCAATGGGCTGTCCTGGGCTGAAGTGTGGAGTGCAAGACCAGTGTTGCACTTGGTGTCCAGTAGATCTGGGGCCAGGGAGGTGTCCTTGGTGACATCATTCACTTGTGGACAGTACTCCCCGTGTGGACCGCTGGAGGCAGATGCTCTCTGGAGCTGCCTTCCCCACACCAAGCTGTGTGTCTAGGCCAAAGCTTGGGAGTGCATGCTAATAGCTGGCTTTGAGTGGGGAGGGACCGGGCGCTGCTGCCAGCATAGCAGCAAAATCAATAATGCATTGCAAAGATCAATGGTTTTCTGTATCCTCTGTGCTTCTGGGTTGAGCCTGTGCAGGCTTCTGCCTCTCTTGGTTCCATTTCTGGTGGGGAGGGAGCAATGGGTGGGTCTAGGAGGGTGTTTGCAGATTCTCCCCCTGACCCCCTAGAGCCAGAGCTCCTGGGGAAGGACCCATGGAGGTGAAACTTGCTGTGTGAAAATACAGAAATAAACATGCCATGGGCCGACCATCGAGCTTAGTTGCTGAGAGGAAGGCTGCTGTCTGTTGTTCCCAACCAAGGCAATGATTTCTTCCCTGAACTTGGACAATTCCAGGAAGAAGACTCACAGGTGAGAAGGGAAGAGGCAGAGGCACCTGGGGTGGGTCCTCTCTTCCCTGGCCCAGGGTCTGCCCTGGGCTTGGCAGATGCAGCGTCCACAGCCCTGCCTATGGCATCCCCATCACCGAAACCATTGCCATCCAGAGTCCAGGGCTGTCCTGGATGTCTCAGGGTGTCATCCAAGAGCTGAGCTTGTAGAGCAGGCTCCCCTGCACACAACAGGGAGAGGTTTGCTGGGGACTTTGCTGTTGAGAGATGACATGGGAAAGCAGAGATTTATTAGGAGGAGCTATCTGCTGATTCAGTCAGGTGGAGAAGGTGTGCCAGGGCCTTCCCTGGAAGCTGGGTGGTGTTTTCGGCACACTAATTAAGGTGATCCTTGGGATAAGCAAATTGCTTTGCTGCCTGTGGCTCACTTTCCAGCTTTTGTGACCCTCCCTGAGTGAATCTGCATTTGCCTGGGGATGTCACGGCAGGGGCCCCAGCTTTCTGCTGCCTTGCTGTGGTTATCCCTGGGGAATCAACAGCAGTCTGAGGGTGCAGAATCCCAAAACCACCTTCCCACAACACCTGTGCAAGCCTCAGCGGGGGGTGGAGGGGGTGGGGTGCGGGCAGTGTCCTGTTATTTGGTCCGGAAGTTTCAGCTGCTGCCCATGAAAGCGATGACTGCATCCCTGTCCTGGATTGCATCTAAGTGGCACCCCGAGAGTTCTGGCTTTGATCAAAGCCTGACCCAGAGCTCTCACTTGGATCAGCACTTGATCGAAGAATTACTCCTTTGAAAATGAGGCTATCGATGTGTCTCATGGACATTTGTAGAGTGAATGACGATTTTAAGGAATTCCTTAATTACAGCATTGTGGTTATGTTAGAATAATCTTTACCCTTTAGCCATAGATACTGAGTGTTGGTAGATGAAATAATGCTTGGGATCTGCCTCAGATTAGTGTGGGGTAGGGAAGCAGAGGGGATGAGGAGGGATGGGATTGTCTGAGTGGACAGTTTGGGGTCTGGATGAGAGTACCTGGATTCTTTGTTCTGTTCTGGCTACTTCCATGCACTTTCAAAATTCTCCATCATAAAAAGTTAATAATGATCAGAGATCTCCAATTCCCCTCCTAAAACATGCCATGGGATCTTTTACTTCATGATGACACTATTCAAAGGTTTACTTTTAAAAAATGTGCCAATGCATTAGGTAGAAACATCGTTCCTTAGTGTAGACTATAGAGAATGTGCCTTTCCATGCAGCAATTCGGGCGCTTAGCACGGAAGCCCGTCTGGAAGGACACACACCTGGCATTCAGCAGATCGTCATGGAGCTGCCTGTGTGGACCTGGGTGCCAGACGCTGCCCCAGGCTTTAGGGACATAGCCCCGAGACTGAAAGCAGCACTCCATAGTTAGCAAAGGGTGGGGCTTGTGTGTGCCTGTGAGTGTGTGTGTAAGTGTGCAGTGGGAGTGTGTGTTCCAGGAGAGAGAAGAGGAAGAGGGAACCTGTACTTTCCTCTCGTACTTACGTGTGGTTTGTTTCTGTTACAAAAGAATTATTTTTGTAATTACAAAATGAATTTTTAAAAAGTGGTCTTCATTCGGTCGTATACTTTCCCCCAACATTTTAAATAGAATTTGATTTGTGGAAACGGATGTTTCTACACATCTTAATAACAGATGAATTGGCTTCCATGAGGCAGTCAGTGAATCAGTCGTTATTGACCCTCTGAGTATGTGCTTTGTGAGCTATGAAGGATAGAAATCAATGCACTACTTTCAGCATTAGGGGAGACAAGATGAAGACCCTGACAATTAAACAGGAGTACGGTCCAGGGACAGAAGGGTCAGCCTTACCCTCAGTACCGAAACGAAGGCTGAGTCTAGTCGGGAGCCTGCGCCCGGTGGGTCCCCGCTGCCGGTTGGCCAACCTGGACCTGGGGCTTGTTCAGGCATTTTCTGCGATGCCTTTGCTTTCTCTTTACATTTAGTGGAGGATATGTTAAGTAACCTAAAGCTATAGCAAAAACGTAAAAGTAGTGCGTGCTGCAGAGAGGTCTGCAAAGTGAAAAGTACGAATTGCTTAGAAATCTGATCGTTTTTGTATTTTCCAGGTCTATTGCAAGAAGCTAGAGTTGCTTGAGCAGCCAGCGTGTGATCTGCCTTGATGCAGAGTTTGGGTGTTTGTTGGGCCCCCTGATTTGTATGTGTGTTTTCATTGTGTTGGGAAGGACAGAACGTTTCCTGTGAGGCCTGCAGTTGCTCCACTTGGTGCTCACTGGGAGTTGGCGAGCATTCGTTTGCTGCTGTTTCTGACGGGCGTGTCTTGTGTGCTTCGAGGGCACAGCTGGGTGCTATAGCTGGGTTGTGGCGGGGCTGTGAGCCCTGGCCCATCCTTGGGGGCTGAGGGTCCTGGCACGTGCTCATCCTGGGAGCCGCCTGCCTTCTCGCCTGTGCAGAACCACCCCGTGGGTGGATGCACATTCTTTCTCCCCATCCGGATCACCCTTGTCCTATACAGCCCCCTCCTTCTGAGGGCCCACAAAGAGCTGAGGCATGTGGGGGAGTCACAGTGCCGGCACCTCTGGGTCCTGGCAGGTGATACTACTGTGTCTTAGGTTCTGGATGTGAAGGAACTGCTTACCT